CACCAACAGATGTGCTCTGGGGCTGGAGTAGTGCTTCAGCAAGCACAGCACGCGTGAGGGTGAACCTCTGGATTTCCCTGCCACAGGTCTGTCCCTCCTGAGCACACCACCACCCCTTCCCCATGCTCAGTTCCCAGGCTCGTGCAGCCCACCCTGCACCTTCATCATCCCCAGCCACCCCTCCTGCTGCCCAGTTCCTCCCCAGTTCTCAGCACCTTCTGCCTTGCCCGACCACTGCCTGAGCTGAACCCCTCTCCCTGTGAAGCACTCCTGCTTTTTTGCTCTGAAGTTTAAGGATGCTCCATCTATCCCTCCTTCCCAACATGCACTGAATTCTCACTATTAACCCCAACCCACCCTTCTTAATCCAGCCTCTCCTCTGCTCCTCACATCCCTCATGTTTTCCCATCCCAGCTCTCTCCTGTCTGTCCATCCCCTTCCCACAGTTCCTTGCCCACACTTAACTTTCCCAGTTAATCCCCTCTTACACACCCAATGCCAACTTTCCTCCTCCCCCCGTCCAAGGCAGTAGGAGGGGGGCACAGGGGCTGGGAAAGCTGAGCAGTACCATCCCATCTCCTGCCCACCAGCACTACAGGGAAAATAAGCAGCTGCAGGGCTCTTGGTGGGTCACCTCAAGCTGCCAATTTGCTGAACTCCAGAAGTATTTCTGCTCCAACTCAGCTCATCAAGGAGATGCTACTTTGGAGTATCAAAGGTGGAGTCTGCTCTTGGGTTCCAAAGAGTTGGGTACAAACAAATACTTGAAGCAATCCACAATGAAGAGAGGTGGAGAGGGCTTGCAGAGATGCCCATGGAAAGAGCTGAGCAGGAGCACAACCACCCACAGCAAGCTGCAGTTTACAAAGTGAGCTTAATGCAGATGGACAAAAAGTGAGGATCAGTCATCAGAATAGCTTGAAATCCAACTGTGTCAGCACTCATTCCATTAATTATCCTCCAGATCACCTCCCAGATCCACTGCTGGAGCATCTCACATTGAATCTAAATAAATACGAGAATCAGAGGGAGACGAGGAAGTCAATACTGCAAACCAACTCCTTCTGCAAATGGATTTTCATTACCATAGGGGCAGGCACTGGTGTCCAGAACGCACCACAGTGCAGGCAATTATATGCTGGCAGTGCTCTGTATTCACAGAAGCTGCTTTGCAGCAGTGAAGGGCAGCAGAGCTATCGATCAGGTCAGCTCCTGTCACTCTTAGAGGCACCAGGGGCTTTAACAAGGCACACGAAGGCAGTATTGGAATTGTCACAAGTTCATGCTTGGTTTGTAAGCAGGTTTATTGACTCCCTTCCTTGCCGTCCACAGGGGGTGGAGGACAGCAGAGCTGTCCAGCTCTAAGCCTCACCAGGAGCTGCCAGAAGAGGCCCTGGGGAGGGATGGAGGAAGAGCTGAGTGCTGACTTCTGCAAAGATTTCAGGCAGAAAAGCACCCACGTGCTGCACATGGGAGCTCTGCAAAGTGCTGCCAAGAGCAGCTGTCCTTCTTCAGCTGCTCCTGTACCCACGTTGAACAGGGCAGCACCCAACTCAGAGCACAGGGAATCCTCTCCACATTTCCCTCTCCCCAGCTCCTCTGATGCAAGCAAAGGAGATGTAATAGGAGAGAGAGAGGACAAGTGCGGATGGCTAGAAAGCAAGTATCAAGCTACAGAACACAGTCCCTGCCTACATCATGCAGCAGCAGAATAGTTCCCACCACCCAATTCTGCTCCAACAGAGGCCAGGCACAGCACCATCATTTTCTAGCAGACGGCAAAAGCTTCATCCAGTTTCCACTGCAGATTAACTCCAGTCAGCTTTGGGGATCTTACATTTCTCCACATAGAGGCTTAAAGTCACATAAAAAAAAGGCAATTCAGAACACCTGTGAGGACCCCAGCTACACAAGCAGCCATTCATGGCAGTCACAAACTTTAAACAAAAAAATTTATACATATATTATTTTACAGCAGGCAGTAAGTGGAGATATTGTGTAAAGGCTGTCAGTGTACTAATATGTACAGAAACATGGAAACGTAGAGTGGAATTAGGCTTTTTGCAAGCAACTAGAGAGCTTTTGCCTTTCAGCACTTGCTACTATTTCTGGTTTCCCAATCTATTGCCTTCCCAACAAAGCTGCTTGGGAAACCCTCCATCAGAAGTTTCCCTTGCCAGGTAGAGGTCACAGCAGCATGTTGGCTAATGCCTCCTAACTCAACCTGGGGAAGATGACAGTTTTCTGGAGGGATGCCCAAGGTAGCCTTCACCAAGCACCAGCACATTCACTGACCTGGAAGTCAGGCATCAAACAATGAAGGGACAACAGCAGGGACTGAATAGAAAGAGGCACAAGTGCATGAATGTGAGCGGAGAATTAAATAATTAATATGCTAAGCAAACTCCTAGAGGGAAATGAGGTGGCATCTAGCAAGAGGGGAACAAGGAGCAGGTGCCCCTGTGATTGCATTTAAAATTCAAATCTGCCTGCAACTGAGCTGTCATACGTGGCCACAGCCTAAGCAGGCATGAACAGCAGTAGAGGAGGGTAAGACAATCACTTGGGCTATCATTATCTGAATCAAGGAATACCACATAGTTTCCAAGGGCTACTGAGAGCCAGAAAAGACATCTCAAGGCATGCCTTCCCTATTTGTCTGGGCTTGTCAGATTACTAACATTTCTTACTCCTACCCAAAGTGAAGAAAAGTAAGCAGAGACAAACTGGTCTGGACAGAACTGAGAATGTTCTGGTTACTCTCAGAGCTCAGAAGAGTTTACACTTCAACCATTTGCAGGAAATCCATTCATTTGTTGCTACCCAGCAGCCACAGGCCCTCAAAACACAGTCAGAGGACTTCTCACCATTCAGATAAACCCCTGGCTAGTAGAAAGTAGAATTATAGAACTCCAAAATAAGTCACGAGTTGGCTTTCTTTTTAGCCCTTGAATTTTGAACAGTTAGTATATTTAAGACGTGCCTGATATTTTTCTGGAACCTGCTGGAGGGAAGAAGTTGCTGTACTCAGCCCAGAGAGGACAGATCCTGACACTCACAGTCCTGAGCAGCCTAATGGCCCATAACTTCCCCTTATGAACCAAAACACTTGGAAGCAACTTTTCAGGAGAACATCTGAGTGATTTCCCTCCTCCTCCCACTGCACACCAGGTTCCCGAGGCAAGAGCTGTCAATAGTGACTGCAGGAAGTGGATTTAAGCAGTAAGCAAGGCTATGCCCCAGCAATCCATAAGCAGAACACACATGATTTGCTAGGGCAAGCACTAAATTAATATAGATTTGATCTGCTGCACTGATAAATTAATGCGGAATACAAAAGTCATTTACTTTCCTCCACGTAAGTTTAGCACCTAGGTAGTTGGTAGTTGGACACAGCTTTGATACTGAAGGAGACAACATACATCCTACCAAGCATCAGGGCTAGCTCTTGGTACTACCTGCAGTCAGCACCCCCTTCCCTCCCTACAAGTGTAGCTGTAATTACATTACACAGTCTGAGCATGCCTTTCCCAGAGCTCCTCACCAGAGAGGAACCAAACAGCAGTAATCAAAGAACACTCATTGGAGAGATGATACTGCAGTTCATCTCTGACTGCAGCATAGCTTGGCCTGTCAGTTTCAATGGGCTTACCCTTCTGCTTTCAGCATGAACCAGCTGGTATTTAAGGAGCACAGAATTGAGTACAAGAAGTAACAAGTGGGGCTGCCTGTTCCAGAGGCTTTTGGAAGATCAACTTCAATGACGTTACTGTCCAGCAAGTCTGAAAGCAGTGTGTTCTTCTCACTCTTTGAAAGAGAGTCATGTATATACATGGTGTGCAGAGAGCTCCTAGCTCCACTGCAGCATCTCTTGGCCAGAACAGATCAGAACTGGCAGGACCAGCACCAGTAAGGTTCTTACAGGTTCTGCCCCTATGGACTGGGCACCTGGAGATCCATGTCTGAGAAGCCACTGAATGCCTGCCTATTGATGTCCATCTGAGAAGTCACTGCAACCCACTATCCTGCTGCAGGCTGGGATATGCTCACCACATAGCAGCAGATCAAAGGTTTTAAACTCAATTACTTCATGCCCACCATGGCCAAGACAGCCTCCAATCACCACATCACCCACAGGAGTCTTTCTTTTTAAAAGCAAAATATCTAGAAGCACCATTCCTTGTCATTACCCATAGTATGTGTAGCAAGAACTTACTGTCATCAAGGTGTTTTAGAAGTCTCCTGCACCTGCCTCTATCAACTGTGTGGTGTTCACAGTTAATGTCTAGCAAGCTGAAGCCACCATAAGGACAAGCCACCTACTGTCTTGGTTCTTTACAGAATAAATGATCCATGTAATCCATCTGGAAGCACAGCCTACAAGGCTGAACACCACTGCTTAAGGGTTTTGAAGCAAGTTCGCTGAACCCAGACCTGTCCCCTCCAATTAAATTAAAGAAGCAAAGCAGTCCTGTTTTAGCTGCACACAAATTCTTGAAGGAGAGAGAAGTAGATCACATTTGATGAACAATACTCACTCTTGCAGGGTCTCATCATAAGATAAGAGATACAGTATGAGTTTCTGCTTGTGACAGTTTTATTTTAAGCAGGGTACCGAGTACGAACATTTTCTAGGAGGAATTCTTTAAATTGCATACCATCTGAAAGATGCAATTATTGCTTTGCATATAGGCACCATCTGGATACACTGATGGAGACATACCATGAACAGCTTCCAAGGGAGGCGAGAGCATTGGAGATCTTTAGGTCTATACTTCCAGCCTTGGGCACCATGTAGTGACATTGCTAATTCCACCACCTCCCTTTGAAGCTGCTAAAGGCTTACTCTCACTAGTATTAAAAAAAAAAAAAAAAAAAACCCAAAAACATCCAAAAGTGTGTCAACCCCACTTTCAGCTAGAAAGTTGAGTACGTAAGGCCAAGACCAAGTGCTAGGCAACAGCCAGACCTGTGGAGCTTCGAGGTTCTCAGCAGCTTACGCTCACTTCTTTCTCCTGCAAGGCTTCCTCCTCCTTCCTAGGGGAGAATGGTCCCACCAGCCAGGACAGAGGCTTGTTGTCCGACAGGTAGTCCAGCAACTCCTCCATGTATTCATAGATTACAGCCAGTTTCTCTTGACTACGGCCCAAGACAGTGCTGGACAAGTCCTGGAGGGAATTTGCTGCCAAGAAGACAGCATGAAGCTCCTCTATGGTATTAAAAGAGTGTTTCAATCTATCCTGAAGGCTTGAGGGAAGGCCTTGGATTGCAGACACAACTTTAGAGCAGGTGATTTGCAGCCGCTGTGTGATGCTATTTGCCAGGAGTAGGGCCAGAGACTCCATCTCCTAAGACAGGAAGATGATGAGAAGTGTTACTTCAAGAGAAAAAGAAAAAAATAAACAAGGAGATGCCCAGAACCCTTTTGCTTTCCTTCCCAGGTAGATACCTCTGACTTTGCAAAGCTGTTATCTCCACTCTCATCAGGAAGCTTCCTAGTATAGTCCACCCACATCAGGCATAGTTGTTCTTGCAACTCCTCCTGAAGCTTTTGATTAAATCCTTGCTTGAACACCTCAATCTGAGGGAGGTAAGGAAAGGTGCCAAGACAGGTCAGCTGGTAATCAAATCAACACAGGTTCTTATCAAAGCAACAAAGATGAGGCCAAGCCAAACTTTTGGTCAACTCCTGCCCTCCAGCAGGAACACCAAGCTCTACCTACCAGCTCAATGATGCTGTGAAGCTGTCCAAGGGCCTCCCGCAAGCCCTGCCAGATCTGCTTAACTTTATCCTTTGAGTGCAGGTAGGCAAGCTGGAGAAGTTCATCAGAGAGAGACCCCAACCGCACAAAATACCTCCTCTTCTGCTGCTGCAGCTCCACAGACATTATATCTGCACCCTCCCCAGATGCTGCAAGTTTGGCTGAGGAAAGAGACAGTAAACCAATGGTTTTTGCCAAGCAGAGCCAAGATTTGTCAGGAGCCAGGTTGCCTCCCACATGGCACTTCCCACTGCCCCAGTCCATACCAGCAGAGCAAGGAACAGTGCCAGCTGTCCCCCATTTTATGATCCCCTTACACACGTAGTGCCTGACCTAGTTCTTCATTTCCCATGGGGAGAGAGTCATCTCCTGTTCTCCCCAGCACAGCTTCTGCTCTGCTTACAGCCATCTGGCCCACTCTGAAGTCCTTAACCATCCCCACGCTGCTGGTCACTGCAGATCTGGCAGCCCCCACACCACTGTGAAGGGCCTCCTTTGTTGCATCTACCACCTCTGCCACTCTGCTGCTCATAACATCCTTTGCATCAGCCACTGTGGATGACACCAGCTCTTTTGTTTCAGAGATAACCTGTCGAAGAGAAATGTCAGATGGAGAGTGGGTCATACAATGCACTGAAAGTACTCTGTGCACTACCTGCTCCTGTAAGAGCTTGCACTGTTCCTCTGGGGGCTTTTCATTCCTCGAGAGCCTACGTTACTCCCAAAGTAAGAAAACCTCCAAGGAACAGGGCAGCCTTTATTTCTCACCTGATCCACTGGCTTTTGAAGAATTGGAAGCTTCTCCCCTAGTTTATCCAAACTCCTAGAGGCACAGTCGTTTGCTGCAGCCACTGTTAAGAAAAAGAAAGAAATTCAAGCTTGTTTTTCCTAACACTCAGGAATATAAGAGATCAAGTATGTTGTTCTGCAGGGAGCCCAAGTGAAGGTCTCCATCCAGGCCAAGTGTGCTCTGCTGCAAGCTGAATTCATAGAGCAGTTCACCTTCATCACCATGTAGACCTGTTCACTTTGACTGCAGTGAGCCTTAACAAACATAGCCATCTGGTGGTGCCCCTACCCAGGTTTCTTGATGAAACAGTTGGACAGCCATCCTTTCTGCCCAAACATCCATATAACCATATGATATAACCGTTACGTAATCCGTATAACGAGGATCCAGGATCATATAGTTATCAACAAGAGAGATGCCTACTCTGGACTTTGTCTGAACCTAGGCCAGTCACACATTCTACCAGACACTTCACATCAGTAATTAACCCCTCTTCCATGCAGGGGTTTAGAGCTTCTTCACGGAAGACAACCATCCGTGTAATTAAGGATCATAGCAAACAAGGCCAGTAGATGTGGCAGCCCAAGAGCAGGCTTTTTCCTTCAGCAATTATTAACTGGCAAGAATTAAACTATGAGCAATTATAACTAAAGGCGCTGGACCTGGCAAGATCATTCTTCAAGTAACCAACATCAACAAAGTCCATCCCAGTCCTTCACAGAGCATCCCTTTGTCACATTACCTGGATTAGGACTCAGTTTTTCTGCCTCATGCACAGTGGTTATTTTAGTACAGTAACTGTGCATTTCCACACTCCAGTTCCCTTCAGAGGAACATGAGGCCACCCCTTCCACAGCGAATTACCTTGAGGCTCCAGGGTAACCAGTAGTGGCTGCACACAGCTGGCTGTGGCTTCAGTCATGCTCTTCACTCCTTTCTCTGCTGTGTCACACACTGTTCTGATGTAGGGGTGGCTCTCCTTCGTGGAGGCATAAACTGTAGAAACCATGTCACAGGCAGAGCTGATCAGTGCCAGGTTAGCCAACTGATTTACTATATCCTAAGTGGGGGGGAAAAAAAGGCCATTAAGCATGAAAACACAACATTGAGCTTTCAGTGTTGTGACAAAGCTTCTTCCCAGATATCTTTTTGAAACACCTAGCTGTGAAACCAAGGCTTGCTTCACTTGGACTTGCTTTGAAGACTGCAGGCAAGTTAAAAACAGCTGTGGAGCACTGGCACTTACTGTGGGTCAATCCTAAGATGTCTTCCTGCAGTGCAATGCTACTCAAGAAGGCTGTTTTTGTAGAAAACCTCCACACTTTTAGATACATATCTAGCTCCTGTTCACTTTGTACAGCTATTTAACAAGACAGTACCCCTGCAAAAGCCTCACAGGGCAGATCAGGCTGGCTATAAGCAGACAGGCTGTACACCTGCAAATGTACACAGCAAATACAACAGGCTTCAGAGCTGCAGAAACATGGGAGCCTTTCCTCAGAGCTTTGCCCACAGCAAACCAGGCCTACAGCTACAGGTTTGGAGCTACCTCCCTCCTAGCCAAGAACAAGGTTACTCTACTTAGCTAACTGAAAGGTTCCCTGCTGGCCCCGTAGGGTCACCTGTGGCTGTGACATCACCTCTACTTCCAGTGAAGCTACAGGGCAGGGCCCAAGAGAAGATGTGCACAGCAGATCTTCTGCCACACCTAACACAGAGCACCCACCTGCTGCTCCTCTTCCTTCACCTCTGGGGAGCTCTTAGCACCTTCTTCTTTGTCAGGCGTAGCAGAGGCCATTGTAGCTGCAATGCAAGCAGTGCAATGGTTTAGAAACTAGACCAAGCAGCTAGAGAGCATCCCTTTCTTGGAGAATACATCTTTCTGATGCGACTAGGGGCTATTCTTTAACCCCCATTAAGAAATTAAGGTCAGACCCTTAAATGGGTCCCCTCCACTTACAAGGAAGAGGGATCTGAGGAACTCACAAGCAACCCAGCATTCAGGTTTCACCTTGTTTACATCAAGGTAATAAGGGTAGTCTTTTCTTACTCTAGAGACTTCTTGTCAGACAAGCGATATTGATAGCAAGCACTACGTTCAGTAGAGACAGCTGGTGCCTCCTTTCTCCTCACCAAGGCTTAGAAAAGCTCTGGTATGAGAGGAGATAGTAACAGCAGAATTAGGGGGCAGACACTCAAAGCTCTGCATTATTGCCATGAGTACCCAGTCCTACCTACCTGCTCACTTAAAAAAAATAAAATAAAAGCACTAACCTTTCACCAGGATCACACGCATAGAAAACACCCACTATTTTCACTCTGTGATTAAATGAGGTACAACACATTTCCATTACAAACTAGGCCCTCACAAAACAATCACTGCCTTACCTCCCCTCCTAGAGAGGACAATGCCTTTTTTTCCTATGTTGGAGACAAGCAGCTACCCACCAAAAAGGAATCACACAGCACACCATGCTGCTATCACAGCTCCCTGCCTTTTTGTACCAGATGGAGAAGTGGTCTGGGGAGGGACCCTGAGTGACTGACAGCTCTGACCAGTAGCACGAAGGACCCAGCCCCTTGCCTAGGAGAGGTGGAAAGGGGCAGTGGTGGGTCCTGCTGTGGCTCGTTAATTACTCTGTAATCAGGCAGGTACACTTTGCACTCTGCAAACTCCTTTCAGAGGCTCTTGCAAAGGAAGAGAAGCAGCACTGGCAGAGCCTATGCAAACTTGGAGATCTTGCATGAGTTCACAGGCACAGACTGGAAATGTCAATTTGTCTTTGTAGAATGATAGAAAATCGAATATCCTGTGTTGGCAGGAACCCACAGAAATCACTGAATCCAATTCCACACAGCACCACCCAAACCCAAACCCTACATACATCTGAGAGCACTGTTCCAACAGTCTTTGAGCTTCAGCAGCTCAGGGCTGTGCCTGCTGCCCTGGGCAGCCTGTTCCACGGTCCCGGGGTGCAGATGGCCTTGCTGGCTTTGCACAGCACTCCTGGCTCAGGTTCAACACGTCCTTAACCAGAATCCCCAGGTCCCCTTCCACGGGGCTGCTCTCCAGCCCCTCGTGCCCCAGTCTGTGCTTCTGAAATTTCAGGCAGTTGGTGATTGCCCTCTCATTTGTCAAGAGCTCTGTGCAAGGCCTCTCTACCTCCAAAGGAGTCAGCAGCTCCTCCCAGTTTAACATCATCCACAGGATCAGAGCTGATGTGATTTTGTGTTGCTTGAGGAGAACATGTAAAGCATTTGTGTTACAGCCTGCATCCAGCACCTCAGCCCCTCAAATTGTCCCTGTCACCACCAAAACAGCTCTGAATAGATGGCACCAGTGTAGCATTAATGTGGAGCAGCTGTCCTGCTAGCTACAAAGGAGCATGGATCTGGTGACAGAGCAGGCAGGGCTGGCACCCTTAAACACACACACAATTACCTTCCTCCTTCCCAGTATTCATGAGCTTACTCCCATCCAGCATTCATCAGCATGGCACAGAAGCTACAGAGCCCATTCCCTCATGCACGGAGCTCTCTGTTCCCCATGCCCACAGCAGAGCAGATGTCTCAAGGCAGCCTGGGCCTCTCAGCAGCCCTCACAATCCCTGTTCCCATGTGTACAACGGAGGACAAAGCACAGGCTCTCAAGAGTTCCTCTAGAGCCACAGCCAGGGCTTTACAGCCTTCATGTTTGCTCTGTGCTCCCTGCAGGAGCCATTCCTGGTGCTGGGAGCCAACCTTGGTGATCTGGATGCTGTGAGAAAGGTCCCTGCAGTCATATTCACTGTTTTGAAGTTTCTACCCTTGTACAACACTCTGATGGAAACAGGAGCAAAGCAGCCCAGCACAGTGTGGCTGCACACGGTTGCTGTGTGCTGCTGGTTACAAGCCATGGCTACTTGCAACAGGAGCAAAGCAGGACTCACAGATAATACCATTGGTGAGCTGTAAGACTTGGGGTCTTTTAAGGATTTCTTCACTTCCACCCAACCCTGCCAGAGGTGCCACTGCCTTCTGTAGCTCTGCTGCATGTGTCTCTGTACCACTTATCTACAGATCTCCTTGCATCTCTGGGTAGGGAAGATTATTAGAAATTAACTGCTGTGGTGATGGACCCTAAGTACCATAGATCCTAATTTTACGCTAAGTACAAGGCACTGTAACTGCAGTTTCTCAAGTTAATTGGCAAACTCACTGTTAGAAAAAGGAAAAGCCTCCTTGAAGAAGGAGCAGTGTTTGCACCATTTGCCTTGCAGTCTATTTTTCACTTTCTGTTTTGGGCTGAGACAGCAGCGTCATAAATGAATCATCTGCCTGCACAAGGACTTGAAGGACTCGGCCACAGACACCGTGTGTGCAGCAGAGGCTTTATACCAACAGGAGAGCCTAGGCTGGGTTTTGTAGTGCTGAACTGACAAGTCAGTTGAGTAGGTCCTGCACTTGACAGAATTGACTTTAAGGCTTAGGATGATCAGACTCATAATGAAGCTTTATTCCCTCATGTAAGAACAGAAAGGCCTTTGATGTCTTGAGCTGCTCATGTAGCCTTCTCTGCCTGGAGTTGGGATTTCTGAGGATGTTTATAGGAGAAACTGCATTTTGAACCCTACAGTCGTGGAATCGTAGAATGGCTTGTGTTGGAAGGGGCCTCAGAGATCGTCTGGCTCCAGCCCCACTGCTCTCTGGGCAGCCTGGTCTGCTGGTTGGTGACCCTGCACACAGCAGGGGGGGTTGAAACTAGATGATCGTTGTGGTCCTTTTCAACCCAGGCCGTTCTATGATTCTATGATTCTATGCTGTGGATAGGGTTACCAGCCACTAAATGAGACACCAGATCAGGTTGCCCAGTGCTCCATCCAGCCAGGCCTTGAGCACCTTCAGGGATGGGGCATCCAAAGATTGGGCAAAAAATGGATGCTGCCTCTGCTTCCAACTGTTCCCCAAAAGATGAGCACACCAAGAGCCTTCAGAGGGCCCCAGGCTGCCTGTGGAGGAGGGAAGCTCCTGCTGTCCCATGCCCACCAGTGCACTGAGATAGTGAAGGATGGATCCTGTAGCCCTACAGAAAAAAAAGAAAACGTTAATGTTTCTGTACCTACGCTGAGCTTGAGCTGCCAGGCAATAGAAAGTCAAGCATTTGAACTCCCTTTGGCTTCTGTTGGAGGAGAGAAGCACTGATTACAGAGGGGCAGGTGCATCAACTCAACTCAGTCCCAGAACCCCTGCAGAAAAACCTTCAAAACCACACTGGCTTCCAAGGAACTGCTCCTGTCCCCTCTTACACCCTCTCTTTACTATTTAGCTCAACAAGAAAACTAGCTGTTTTGCTAAGCCCCTTAAAAAAACAGTCCTACAGAGGCAGAAAGCAGCAAGCAATTTCATGTTACATGTCTGCTGCTAGTAAGACCAAAAGGCATGTCCTCGTGCTCTGCGTCACAGGGTGAACAGAGTCTCTCTGCCTGGAAACTGCTGCTCAGATGCTATGCAGTATTGGCTGAGGCTTTCTTTTTCAGGAAGATGTAGTGAGGGTGATAGCTGCCTGTGTGCTGCAGAGTTTAGCATAATTGCTGAACAGCCTGGTTCCAGCAGCTGGGTAGTTATGGTGATAACTGCCCCCTGCTGCCTTGGCCAAAGCTGCAGTGCACCTGTGTGTGTACAAAAGATGAGCAGTCAAAATCAGAAATCAGAGGGGGACACGAGGAAGCTGGCATTGGCTATTCCTTTTGCTCAGGCAACAGAATGAATGCTGAGCGACTTGGAAAGCTGGTGGTGGTGAACTGGAGAACTTTTTGCTGCTTGGCCCGGATGGTCAAGGCTGAAATCTGTTGTTGTTTTTATTTTTTCCTTTTCCTGGTTCTACTCATCTAAACCACACTGGGCAAAGAAGTGGAAAAGGTTGGTCTGTATGTTTCAGCAGTGGTGACAGGGACAGTGAGTCATCCACTGGTGCAGATTTTTATGAGCGCAGCATCATATGGCTTGGGAATTTGCTTTATCAAGTAGTGTTATCTTTGTATCTTGTTATAATATCCATAGAAAGAAATAGGAGGCATTACTTTTGAAGTGACCAATAGCATATGCACTGGTTACAAATGAATCCAGCCAGCCAGCACCAGTTTCCAAGTCCCTGGCTTTGCTTCCCTCCAGGAGGAAGAGGCATGCTGTGCCTGTGATGCAGGGATGTGCTTCTGCTGATGCTCAATTCAAGCACTTGAGCAGAGCTGTCAGGAGGACAGGTTGAACTCTTCTGCCCATTAAATCTCACTCCTTCTGCTGGACCCTGTGTGAGCTGCAGGAAATGACAGCCTGGCCCCGAGGAAGTGCCATCAGCTGCCTTCCACCACCATCCCTTGTAACTGGACTGGGATTGTCAGGCAGGCTGGGATTCAGTGCAGTTCCAGGCTGAGGCAGGCAATGGGGTTACACCAACCCTCTAGCAGCATTCTCAGCTTGGAGACTATCACTCATCTAACTGTGCTTGGTTTCAATACTGGAAATAGATCTGGAGGACCTGCGAGATATGTGTGCACAGAGGGGGTTATTGCTCTTCTCTGATGTAAAGCAGGAGGTCTGGACATATGAAGCACACGTATTGTGCTGGCTTGTGTCACGCCTCCAGCAGGTAACTTGGGCCCAATATTTGAGGAGAACACCCACTGAACTGTCAGAAACACCTTTCAGAAATTTCATTTGAAGTCCCTCTCATGTAAAGAAACTGAAGCTTGAAATACGTACAGAGCACAAAAGAACAGGCACAAGCAGCAGATCTTAAAAATCAGTGCTTTAGGCAACCTC